AACCAGCCCTGGCCAGGCCCATCCTGGGCCCCGGACTGGTGCTCACAGGCCCTCCTGGCCTGGGCCTGGAATTCTATACATGGTTTGGGGCGCATGTTTTACTTCCGCCACCTTCTGCCGCCCTTCCGCCGCCTTCCGCGACGGAAGAGATGACAACTCCTTCGATCCTCGAAGGCAAGGCCATTGTTGGAAAACCTCGCATCATTCCAGGGCCCATGGTGGACCTGGCCAGGGCTGGTGATGTACAATCAAGCCGAGGTATAAGGTCGAGGTCGGTTTTCGGGGAGAGTGCCCTAATGTTCTTCGCGTTTGTTAGATGTTCTTGTATCCTGGGGGGGCCCTCGAGAGCTCGTCAGTTTGGCTGGCGGAGGGTCTCATGTTCTCGAAGGATGCTCTGTCCCAGGTCCGACTGTGTTGTTGGCGTCCCTCCGAGGGGACCTGGAGCGGGGCGCAGACGAGCTCGCCGAGACCCGAGTGGAGCAGCTCGACGAGGCCCTGGAGCGGCTCCTGGCAGCGGCGCGGCCGCCCGCGTCCCTGCGGATGCTGCAGGCCCAGGACGCGCGCGGGGCGGCGCCGTCCTCCCCGTGGCACGGGGCCGCGGGCACCCACGTGCGGAACAGGAGCGCGTCCCCCTCGTCGGCTGCACGCCAGGGTGGCCCTGCAGTCAGGCCCAGGCCAGAAGAGGATCCCTCAAGAACGTGAGGCCCTCCGATGGCCAAGACACGCAGAACATCCAAGGGCACCCTCCCCAGGATGCACAAGAGCATCCAACAGGCACGAAGAGCACTAGGGCACCCCCCCCGAACCGACCTCGCTCTGATACCTCGGTCCGGCTGTACACTACGGTCAGAAACTTTTGCACGGCGTGTCGCGGCGGCGGCCTGGCGACGCGCTGTGCCCTGTGAGATAAGAGCGAGTCGCTCCGCTCCGCGGGGCGGGAGGCTAGGAACGGCTGGGGGCGTTGACGCTCGGGAGAGGGGACGTGGACAGCGTGTCGCGCCGAAGCGTGGTGGGCCAGAACTGGCGGAGCGACAAGCTGAGCCAAAGTTCCTGGGTCGCACCCCGGATAGGTAATGCAGATCTCGCGCACGGTCCGCTTCCCCGCGCCCCTCAGTGTCGAGGTTCGCGCGGGACGCCGCACGCTCAGACTTTTCCCGCCGTCGGCCGCGGCCGACTCAACACTGAGATCGGGGGTCCGGGGCCCCGGTTGTCCAGGGGGGTGCAGTCAGGAGCAACTTTCGGCGCGCGGCTTGCCTGCCGTGGCGTGCGACGCCACGGCAGAGGCCTGCGTGCTCGGGCTCTGCCCCCCCCGCGCCCCCCGAGAGCCGCACTCCACAGGTCACTCCAGCAGAGGGTTACCCTCGCGCGTGGCCGACCTCGGCGAGCAGGGATGCCAGCAGCCCGGGGCCCAGGTGGTCGCGCGCGAAGAGGTGCTGGCCACCGTCGCCGTCCAGCAGCACTCCTGTGGGAACTCTTGCTCAGCGTGTCGCGGCGGCGGCCCTGGCGACACGCCATGCCCTGCGAGCTGAGAGCGTGTTGCGCCGCTCCGCGGGGCGGGAGGCTCGGAAAGGCTGCGGACGTTGACGCTTGGAGCTGGGGACGTGGATAGCGTAAGCCGGATCGTAAACTTTCGGGGGCCCGCCCGGATTTCATCGGACTTCCCGCATTGGCGCTGGACCCCCCTGCTCGGGGTTCCGAAACGGAACGGCGACAGACCGTGCGGTGACCTCGGAATCCCCAACGCCCTCGCTGCACGGTCCGTCACGGCACGGTTTTTGGCCCCTGGAGGCCCCAATCGCTGGAGACGTCCTTGTTGAAAGACTCAAATTCCAAAACCGTGCGGTCACCTCGAATCCCCACTGGCTCACCACACGTTGTGGTCAGCGCACCGTTTGAGGGGCGGCGCTGGAGGCCCCGCTGAGGGGGTCTGGCGCCGTTCCGAGCAATCCACGCAGATTTCCGAACATTTGCAGTCACCTTGCCACCACAAGGGAACAAATGGGCTTTTCTGGCCACGGCGAGCCTCGGCCACGAATGGATTCCCAATGGTTCCCATACCTAGACTGAAGGAGCAGCCCGAACACCGTAGCACCCCCTGAATCTAAAGTGGTTCTTACTCCAGCGTCTTTACTGTTCAGTGTACAATCAGGAACTGATGCATAGCGTGTCGCGGCGGCGGCCCCAGCGACACGCTGTGCAGTGCGATTGGATAGCTTGTCGCTCCGCTCCGCGGGGCGGGAGGCTCGGACAGGCTCGATGTGCTGACGATTGGGGGCTATAGGACGTGGATCGCGTGTCGCGCCGTGGCATGGAAGCCAGAACCGGCGGCGCGACACGCACGCAGCTTGGAGGCGGCCGGGGGGTCTGAACTGGTCGGGGCCCCAGCAGATCGGTCAGGAAGGGGGGTTGAGGCCGAATCCAGGCAATCAAAGTCGGGCCCCGGACGTCTCGCAAGGTCCATGCGTACTCTTTCACGCGGGATCCGTTTCTCACGGCCCCGGACTCTGAAATCAGCCCCCTGGACCCTGGAGGCCGAAAGAGGCAAACAACCTTCCCGAATCTAGAGCCTCGAACCTCTTCCCCTCCTTCCTGCTGGCAGGAACCAATGCTGGGCCACCTCAGACTCCCAGCCGACTCCGACCTGACCGCAGCTATGCGTGCAACCCTCTCTTCTTCGGGCTCCGTAGGCGTAGGGCACGCGGACGCACCCGGGCTGCCACTGCGCCAGCACGCCCTTCGTGAGCAGGCCGTCCTGCTCGACGCCCGGCGGCGCCTGCGCCGGCGCCCGCGGGAGCCGCGGGGCCCCCGCGGGGCCCCAGTGGGCGGCCATCGCCGAGCGGCCGCGGCGCCCGCGGGAAGGGACAGGGGAAGGGAGGAGAACCTCAGGAGGTCTTTCGTTTTGACCACCCCCGTGTCACTCTGCGGTGAATAGGACTGGTCCTGAAACGTCTTCCTCCTCCTCCTCCCCCCTCTCCCCCTTCTCCTCCTGCTCCTTCTCCTCCTCCTCCTCCTCCTCCGCTGCCGTCGTCGTTGTTACGCGGCGGGTGCCGCGGGAAAAACAAATTAGTTACCCCCTATTGGTGGGACCCCAGTGCTTCAACAAGGCCGCCGAGAACACAACTAGTTGCTGTATCTTCTGTTGGGGAGGGGGTTCTAAAGACTTCTCGCGGTTACGGTGCGGAGCTCTTGGACAGCGTGTCGCGACGGCGGCCTCGGCGACACGCTATCCCCTGCGAGCAGGCAGCGTGTCGCGCCGCTCCGCGGGGCGGGGGACTGGCAAAAAAGCTCGGCACGTGGGCGCCTGGAAGTGGACAGCGTGTCGCGCCGAAGCGTTGGAGGGCCAGAACCGGCGGAGTGACACGCTTTCCCAGAGTTGCCGACCGCAGGGGGGGGGGGGAGGGGGGGGGGAGACGTGGGGGAAGGGCGGGGAGCGTGAGGAGGGCGACAGGGGCCCAGGGGGCAGGGACGGAGAGGCCGGGGCCCTCAGAGCCGGGCGACGCCACATCACAATCGCGACGGCAAGCTCTTCGTCGATTCATGGCCCCCGGAGGCCGTCTCCCGGCCCCGGGGCCGTCACAAGTCTCAAGGACAGGGATGAGATCTCCTGGGGGCTGGGGGCCGACGCCACGAACAATGGCGACGTCGGAGGAGAGAGGAGAGGAGGGGGAGGGGGGCGGACCTGGAGCCAGAGTGGCCACGGGCAAGGACCAGGAGGAGGGAGGCCGCGGCGGAGGTGGGGAGGGGGAGGCCCCGAAGCGGGTCAGGAACGAGCCAGCAACACCGCTCCTCGAGGGTATCATCGACCTCGAACTTCCCCTCTTTTTGTTTCGCCCTCTCTGGGTGCACCTCGACGTCGGTTCCCAGTCTCATTGTTTCTCCCCCTCCTCCTCCTCCTCCTCCTCCTCCTCCTCCTCCTCCTCCTCCTCATCCTTCTCCTCCTCCGTCTGGAGCTGCTTCGTTTGCGGCGAAAGTCTGGATGTCTTCGGGGGGTCAGGCCTCTGGCCCCGTCTGGGGCCTTCAGAGAGCGACCCGGGACGAGAGGCTGGACCGTGGGGAGGGGTCGGGAGCTCCAGGCCCCGCGTGCTGAAGAGAACACGGCGTCGGAGGGTCTGAACTCGACCGCCGCGCGGGCTGCATATCCCTGGCCTGGGCAGCGGCTGGAGTGGGCTCAGGGGCCGAGCGGGGCTCGGAGGGGAGCTGTCGGGACGGCCCCGCCTCTCCGCACGCGCCCCTCGGGCCCTTTGCCCGGCACTGGCGCCCGACGCGCGGGGCTCTCCGCCAAAGCCGAGGGCGTCCACAAGGCCGGCCTCCGCGCCTTCGCCCAGAATCGGGCCCGAGGTCCCTTCTGTAACCCGGCCAGCCCTTCGGGCTGCTCCTGGCCGCGGCCACGACGAGCCCCCCCCCCCCGAAGCAAACCGAGACTGAGCGAACAAAGACGGAAGCAAAGAGAGGGAGGAGGAGGAGAAGGAGGAGGAGGAGGAGGAGGAGGAGGAGGAGGAGGAGGAGGAGAGGAGGAGGAGGAGGAGGAGGAGGAGGAGGAGGAGGAGGAGGACATCCGCCGATCTGACTGCTCGATCCGCGGCCCCAGAAGTCCCGACTGGCTCCCCAAGGACAATTTTCCAGCCCGGATCCAGTGTTGATAGTCCTGCAGGGCCCAGAAAACAGCAAAGCCGCCGGTTGGACAGATCATATCGTCGGATAGTTTAGTATGTCCCTCCAGCGACCCAGATAGCCGGCGTCCCGATGTTTTCTAGACGCGGGCCCCCGCACTCTCGACCCCTTCCATGGGACCGGTTTTCAATCCCGAGCTGTTTTTTGACGGTCCCGAGGCCCAGCGCGGGCCCTCAGAGGGGGCCGAAAACGAGGACAGGGCTCTGTCTCGACCTCGTCCAGACGCCCCTGTGGCCTGGGGGCGACTTCGCTCTCTGCTCGCGCGCGCGTGCTCGCCCTCCGCGCGGCGAACTCCCACGGGTCCTCGCGCCCACCGCCCGCGCAGGCCATCAGCCCGGCGCTGCAACACACGACCTCGGCGCCCGGCCGCGGCGCCGTCGCCGGGGCGTCCCCCGCCATGAGATGAGGCCAGGGCGGGGCCCAAATCGGACGGGGACGCCGTCAACCCGTATAATAAGGATGCGCGGCAAGGAAGCAAGGGCCTTGGAAGCCCATGCCGATGCTCTTCGAGCGGGGCTGGTCGTCGAAAGTGGTCGAGGATGGACCGAAGATTACCGAAAAGGCAAGGATGCAAGGGTACCCTGGGGAAGTCGATCATTCTTACAGGGCGGGTTGACTGTAGCTCGGGGAGCTCTGAGATCCCCTGAGCTTCTGGCCTTCCAACTTTTTCAAACCGGGCGCTTCCGCATGATTGAGGCCCCTTTTGCCCTCCTACCATCGAAACGCTGTCATAAGGAACCCTAAATAATGAGCGAGGCCCTTTTTTCCATATTTACAATTCGGTTTCGAAAACCGACATGACAACCTAAGACAAACTGTAAAACATGTAAAGAATACCGAACCCCTCCCCAACGAAAAGGATTCCTACTTCAGCGGTCCGACTGTATATCGATCCGGTTTTTTAAAGTGCAGAAGGACGATGGGGTCCGGGGCTTCGGCCGTAATTGTTACGTCGTTTCAATTTTTGTCGCGTCGTGGGATCTTTGAGATCCAGCAGCCCCAGAGGACGTATCCGGCACCGCGGCCGTTCCATAACCCTCCCGAACCCTCCAGAACACCATGAGGGCGTTCTGGAACGCTCTGGAGCAATTTACCCTGGTCCTGGCCTAGATCGAGCATTTCCAGTCCTCGCAGAGGATCTCTGTGAAGTCCGGGCGGGACCACGTCCGCAGGATAAAGTGTTGTTCAGATGCCTTCGGCGAGCCGTGGGCCGTGGTCGCACCAGCTGGCGCCACGTGGCACCACCCCGAGGTCCGGGGAGGGGGTCCCGAGAACTGCCAAGCGGACGCCCCCCCAAGGCAACAAGCAAAATCAGCACCAACCGCATATGGATCGCCTTTTGTCTGTCTTTGCTGGGGCCAGAGGAGGGTCTGTTCCCGGGCCCCGGGGCCGCCCTTCTTTCTGGATGGCTGGCCAGAATGGGGGCCCAGGACACGTCCGCGGCGTCCCCAAACACGCACTGCGGAGGAACACATGATGCAAGCAAGAAATCTCCATCGTAAGGCGAGCCATCTGTACCTTTGGCGAGGGCTAGGGTTGCCAAAGAGGCAGGCCAGCCCAGCTGGCCTTACAGGCGCCCAGGGAAGTCCAGGGGCCTTCTGTGCACAACCCCATGACTTGCCAAAGGCGCGTCACGCGCTATTCATCCCTGACAACCCACTTGATCCTTGATTGCGCGAGAAGGGCTATACTGAGGAAAGCTTAGGCCAAACTTCGTGTAAGCATCGGCATAGAAACCACCAGCGGGAATGCGCTCACTTACCCAACCAGTCTTGAGCTCTGAATGCAATTTAGTCGGCACGGAGTTCCATAGTACTGAGCCCTATCGCCGTCGAGGCCTGGCTCGCGCCACCTGGGGAGAGAAGCTGATAAAGAAATAAAGCTTTTATCTCCTAATCCCTCCTTTCCATCCGTCCACGTGCTGCGTCTCCGAGGCGATTCGTGCGACGAGAGGCGGGAGAGGACCACAGGATGAGCGGCCTCGCATGTGGGATGTCTGCTGTCCCTCTCCCTCCTCCTGCAGCTGCTGCTGCCGCCCGCCGATCACCCCCCTGGCCCGGATGGCCGTCCAACTATGCGCCCGGCCCCCGGCTGGACGGCTCGCTCCCGCATCTCCGCGAGGAGGTGCAACGCTCGGGCGTCCGTGAGACTGGGGTCGACGGATGCTCGCCCCCCCTCCTCGGCCCCGAGAGGGGGCTAAGGCGTAGGTGGGAGGTGGGTGAAGGTAGGTCGGCCGAACCTCTCTCGATGATCCTCAGGACGTGTGTGAGCGCCAACATCTGCCTGCCCACCCAAGCCCTTTCATGCAACGCAGCCGGCGTGATGACGTCCTCAGGATCGCTCTTTGCCCTACCTTGGAGGCCCGCTGTTGCCAATCGAGCCGCAGCTGCGCCTCAGCCCGAGGCAGACACTGCCCCTGGCTGAGGCAAAGGAGGAGGAGGAGGAGGAGGAGGAGGAGGAGCGAGCGAGCGAGCGAGCGAGCGAGCGAGCGAGCGAGCGAGGAGGAGGAGGGAGCGATGAGGAGGAGGAGCGAGGAGGGGGAGGAGGAAGCCATGCCACAACTGCGGCGTCCACGCGATGGCTGCGATCAGTTGGCTCCCGCCTCCAAGAAGGGGGGAGCGAGGCGGCCGGGGTCGGCCAAGGGCATCCTCGCTTCCTCTCTCTTCTGCTGCACCCCTCTATATGTGTATATATACATCTCTCTCTCTCTCTTCCTCGCTTCCCCTGCTCGGGTCCTTCCGTTTCTTCTGCTGTTGTTGCTTCTCCTTCCCCTCCTCCTCCTCCTCCGCCTCCTCCTCCTCCGCCTCCCTCACCTCCTCCTCCTCGTGCACGACCTCTTCGTGCTCATCCAGGTCCTCTCCTCCTTCTTCTCCTTGTCTCCTTCCTACTTTCCCTCCTACTCCTCCTCCTCCTTCTTCTTCTTATTCCTCCTCCTCCTCCTCCCTTTCCTCCTGCTTCTCCTCGTCCTCCTCCTCCTTATGCGTCTCCTCCTCTTCGTTCTCCTCCTCCTCCTTCTCCTCTTCTCTCCTCCTCCTCCTCCTCCTCCTCCTCCTCTTCTTCCTTTCTCCTCCTCTTCCTCCTCCTCCCTCCCTGCCTCCTCCTCCGTGTCCTCGTCGAGGCCGAAGTCGAGGTCGTGACCCGTTGCCGCTCGTCGTTGTCGTCGTCTTCTTCGTCGTCGTCGTCGTCATCGTCGTCGTCTTCGTCTGCGTTGTCATCGTCGTCGTCGTCGTCGTCGTCGTCGTCGTCGTCGTCGTCGTCGTCGTCGTCGTCCCCCAGCTTCCCCGCGGCTCGTGGGGCCGGGGGGCAGGGGAGCCCCGCTCCCACAGGGCCCCCAGAATACCAGCGCCCACTGGTCGCCCTTCTCGCAGGCGCCGGCGAGCGCGTTGTAGCTGACGGCGTCGGGTCGGAGGCCCTGGCCCGCCATGCTCCCGAACAGCTCCAGGGCCTGGGCTCTGTTTCGTTCCCCAAACAGCCCGTCTGTAAGGACTCAGGTGATCGTTCGCGGGGGGGCAACTAAGGCGAAGCCAAGACGAGGAGAACGTCGGTTGAAGATAAATCGAAGATCTCTGAGATCCAGCGGCTCTGGAGGATGTACAGGGCGGCGCGGCCTTCCCGGAGCGTCCCAGAACGCTCTGAGAGAGCGTTCCGAACGCTTTGGAGCAGATTTGCTATCCTCGTCCTAGCCCCGTCCGAGCAATACACGTGGGGTGAAGAAACGTACACCATTTGGGCTCGCGGTGGCAGTTTGGGGAGCTGTCCCTGCAGCTCTAAGCCCCCCTTCGTTGCCTGCCCCCCCCCCGTTGCCGTCCGCCCGAAGGGTTTCTGTATAACGCCTCTGACGCCCGGTGAGAGAGCCCGTGCCCCCGACATCGGTGGCCCCCCATGGTTGGCCCCGCATCGTGGCCCCCCATCGCGGGCACCCCCTCGTGGGACTGTGTGCACCGGCCGCAGAGGATGTGATTATGAGTTTCAAACTTTCTAAGCGGCTGTTGTCTCTTGGGCCCCAGTCTGTGAGCCCGCGCGTTTTCGCCTCGGCGCCGGCCACACTCTCTCTGAACACGAGGCTCACGCTCGACGCGCCCGGGGTGCGCCAGAAGTGGCCTCCCAAGAGCAGCAACGCTCCTGCTCGATGCCCCCTCGCACTTCACTTAGGACTGGTGCTCTTGTCTCGCCGTCGAGTCTGTCCTCGGGCAAAATTAGCACCCCCGCTCCAGGCTTCCTCGCTTTTTATAAAGGAGTGGCGCTCTCGCCTTGGTGTCACAACCAGCCCCCCGAACCAATTACAGCGCTCTCGCTGGATATTTTTCTATTGTTTTTTTCTCAGGAGTGGGACCCTCGTCTCGGTCCCATGGTCTCAGTGCCACCTCAGATTGACCCGAAGATGACCCCGGTGCCAACACCCCATATCTACTTCCGTAACATCGTTTGGGGGTGGTGGGACAAAAACAAATGCAGGACGATTGCGACGGCCATGTGCAGTCTGAAACGATGATAGTAGTGCACCGCACGAGATGTTGGTAACACATCTTCGGGCTGGAGATCTGGGGAATGTTGGACTCGGACCCTTATGTATGACATGTCACCCATGAAGGGGGGAGCCATCATGATGGATGCATGCAGCACGTGGAAGCATGTGGAATCATCGAACCATGGAGTAAATTAGTGGAAGTAGTCGTAGAAGTCTTTGTTGTTCTCCGGCCACCGATAGTAAAATCAATGCTCAGGTGAACAGTCAGCAGGAACACGAACAGAAGCGGACTGGTGCCCGAGCCTTCTCGAACAGGGTATCCTGGGTACGTTACATGTAACGATATCGGGACCACGGGATTGCACTATAGCGATGGACCGCGGGGCATTTACATAGCACTCTTCTCCTCCTCCTCCTCCTGAGGCACCGTGTAGCCCCTTGGCTCTGCAGCACAGCGGCGGGGCGTTCTCTGTACAATGTAGCTCACTTACCACCTTCCATGTTTGTTCTTGTCCCCTTGCAGTGAAGGGCTGCTGGCCACTCGTGCGATGCTCCCTCTGGTCGCAGGCAGTTACAACCCCCTCCGCGCCAACAGCGAGGATCGGTTGGAGGAGATCTGCCGTCGCACTTCATCGTTCGACGTGCTGACGCTGATCGGCACCAAGGTGAAGGCGGCGGCTGGTGCCCCAGTGAGGCGCCGCCAGGTGGCCATGCCTTTGAAGCAGGCTTCCAGAACCGTCATTGAAGCTGGATGTAAAGTTGGACCATCTGTAACTAGCTATGCTGGTGTCTCGGTCGTCCTTGGACCTCGCTTTCGGGATTCGCATGTCGTTCGAGTGGCTACCCCACCTGTCGAGCTTCAGGGTCGAGGACTCCTGGTTCGTTTTAAGACGGGGCTCTGGGATATTAGTTGTATTGCACTCTAGTATCCTCCTCGGCCTCGGGATCTTGTCTCTATGGCTGGTTACCAGACTACGTGTGACCGGCTCACTGCATGGTGTGCTAGTCAGCTGGCTGCCCTCCCTGCACGGACGACGCCAGTTGTAGGAATGGATTTGAACGACGGACTCGGTCTAGTCCATCTTGCGGGTAGGGGATGGATATATGATGATAAGCATGTTGTTCCTCATACCTATGCTTGTCAAGCACATTATGCTGGTATTGCACTGGGGGAGGTATTGTCGTTACATAATATGTGTGCTGCGAACTGTGCCCGCGAACGTGTCCCTACTTTTTATGGGCCAAGTGGTAGCACCAGTACTATCGACTTTATTTGCTTGCCGCGCCCTCTGATGGAATGCATGTCTCACAGCAGTCCGTTGAGGAGGGTCAGCCGAGAGCGACAGATCATCCCCACTGCAAGGCCTGCTGATCACCTGTTGATCATGGTCAAGACGTTATATACCCTTTCTATCTCTCCTGTTGCGGCACGTGCACGACCTCTGAAATGGGATCGTGATCTGATTATGAGGTGTCTGCGGAATGGCGAACGCCGTGCCACATTTGTTCGTGCGCTTCACCTTCGCCTTGAGTCTCAAGAGAATGCTCTCACCGCTCTGCTCGATCGCTCCACTGCTGACGAGTTGTTTGAGGGGGTGAATCAGCTTTTGATGGAGGTGGGGCAGGAGGTCTTTAGTAGCAGTGAGACTGAACAGCAGCGGGCGTATCGACTAGAACGGGAGCAGTTGCTGGAACAGCGGAGACAGCTCCGACTACTGCTGCCTGAAATTGACCCGACTTATGTTGAGCAGGTACAGAGTCGACTTCGGGATGTCTCTCGGCTTCATCGCCTCTTTCGTCGCCGTGCTATGGAGGAGTGGAGGGAGGCTTTACTGGAGGAGGTTCGGGAGCACTGGCGTCATCGTCGTCTTGCTGAGGCTTCTCGCTTGGCTCGTCGGGCTGCTGGATCTCGATTCGGTCCAAAGCGACGTGACTATGCTTCGATTCGTGGAACCGTCGACGACTCTGTTGCCCTGCGCGAGCTTTTCAGTTCACCAGGCCCTCAAGGCGGCATGGCCGCCCAGGTCGTGGAGGACTGGTCTACCTGGCGTGCGCAGTGGATCTCGTGTGCGCAGCCAAGTGTTGGCCTCTCTGAGGAAGATTTACGGCGCGGTCGGCGCGATCTTCGTGCCATTCTGCGCCGGCTACAAGTAGCTGGCAAACGACGTGCTGTGCCAGAGTGGTCGCCCCCGCTTGAGATGTGGTGGTTGGCACTTTTCCCTCGGAAGAATTTATCTCAGATGCCCACGGGGTTGGGTGCTGAACTATGTCCGCACTCTCTGGAGAATTTTCGAGATCTTATCATTCTGGGCCAAGCAAAAATCCATAGTTGTGGGCAGATCCCGATCTTTTGGAATCGTAGTCGTGGTGCTCCCCTTCCCCGTCCTGATGGAAAAACACGGTGGATTCACCTCCTGGACCCGTTCGGCAAAGCCTGGACCTCGGGGATGATGGCCCAGCGCGGCCCGCTTCAGGGCACTGATCAGGATCATGGGTTTTTACGTCACCGTCGTCGTGAGTGTGCGCTCACGGTCCAGGGGATCACGGGAGAGTGGCTTAAGAGGCGAGGCTACGTCTTTCTCACGAATGCTCATGACTTGACGAATGCTTTTGCCAGCAGTGCACGTCCATGCATGGAGCGTGCTATCAAGGATTTATTTTTGGAGTCGGCTGTGCAGTACGGCTACCAGAGCGTGCGCAGTGCAGTTTTCGCTCTGCGGGGTCATGATACTGATCTTCATCTCTCGCCTCAGAGTGGGGGTCTTATGGGGGATGAGTTCGCGGTGAACACGTTTCTTCGTACGTTCGTTCCTCCTGTCCAGAAGTGGCTCGATGCCCATCTTCGCTTTGACCCGCAGGCGACTGTGCTGTGCTCTCGTTTGCCTGCTCTTGCCGATGGCCGTCTTGAATTCAGTGCTGAGCACATCGACTGCTCGCTTACCAAGTATGCGGATGATCTCACCAAAAAGCTTGTGCTACCTCGCGGGGCGGAGCCTCGTGATCTGGTTCATCTCAGCACCCTGTCGAACGCTGCGCTGGACGAGTACCTAGCAGAGGTGGGCTTCTCTCAGAACCTAACTAAACAAGATACGCTACTTCATGTGCAAGGTCAGGGCTCGGCTCATTTTCTTCGGGATCTTAAGTCTGGACAGTTGGTTTTCCCTGGGAAAGCGGTGCAGGCTGCTAAGAGTTTGGGGGCCTGGATGTCTAGTACTCCTACCAGTTTTGAGACTGAGCTTACATCTCGTATCAGTGCGGTTCGGCAGGCGTGGTATCAGATGGGTGGATTCTGGACTCTTCGGGGTATCCCTCATCGTCTTCGGCGCTGTCTTCTAATCTCCAAAATCTACAATGTGGCTCTCTCTGGGGTGGAGGCTTTTCTTCCGAGCGTGCAGCAGGTTACTCGTTTGCAGAATGTGGTATCACAGTATGCTCGCAAGGCTATGCTTGGTCAAGCTGTGGACTGGACGTCTGCAGCTCATCCTAAATCCTTGTCCTCGGAAGCTGTACTTAGATGGTGGCGTCTCGTTCCCCTGGAGCTCGAGATTCGTATTCGTCGTATTCGTCGTCTTCGTCTCTGGCAAAGTGTCGCTAAGGTCCCTGGAGCCCACCGTCAGCTACTCGCTTGTTTATTCGGGTCTTTCGGATCGGATACATATCATGTGAGTCTGTCTGGAAGGCTGGAGGGGGGGCTCTCGCCGTGGACCGTACGTATGTGTGCTGACATTGATAGTCTTGCTTCAATTGATGAAGGGGCATCGCTGCTTGAGCGGCTGGAGGGCCGCTATTTCTATCTCTTCGCCGAGCCTACATGGGCTGAGGAGTTTTGCACGATCGATGTTCGACAACTTCGTGCTGCTGCTCTGTCTGTAAATGTTCCTCCTTCTGGTGTGTCCTCTAGGAGGGGAAGTGGAGGTGGAGGCTATGTATACCTGTATGATTGTAAATGAGTCTGGGGAGGTTTGTGGAAGAGCTTT